CCTCAGCCTCCCAAAGGCGCGGGATTACAGGCTGAGCCACCGAGCCTGGCTGAAATGCATTTCATATGCAGAGGTCAGCAGCTGCAGGTGGAGAGGTTCACCTAGGCCTTACCTGTGGGGCATCATTGTGAAAAAGCTTCTATCCAAGTTTGCTGTCTGCTTTCTGAATGACTGCAGACACGTCTGTATTTCATTTTTGACTCTACAGCTGGTGTTAACCACCCGCTTTAATCTTTCACTAGCTCTCTGAGTTTTGTATTATTCCTATTTTACAGATAAGGGAACTAAGCAGTGGAGGGTGAAATTAAAATCAGAACCAGTTCTTCTGACTCCAACATCTTTCAGTTCTAGCATGTTAGTAGCCACGCTTTTTAAAATTTTTTATTTGTTTTTTTGAACTGGAGTCCTACTCCGTCGTTCAGGCTGGAGTGCAGTGCCAAGCTCACGGACACCCCAGCGTCAACCTACTGGGCTGTGGCAATCCTTCAGCCTCAGCCTCCCGAGTAGCCGGAATTACAGGCATGCGCTACCACGCCTGGCTGATTTTTTGATTTGTTGTAGAGATGAGGTCTCGCCAAGTTGCCCAGGTGGGTGTCGAACCCGCGGGCTCAGGCAATCCACTCACCTCAGCCTCCCAAAGCGCGGGATTACAGGCTGAGCCACCGAGCCCGGCTATTACCCACATTTTAAACAACTCTGAGATGGCCAGAAAATTCCCTCTTATTGAAGGAAGTGCTTTGGAGGACTTGATTTTCCTGCAGGAGGCTTTGGGATCCTACCTGAGGCAGCACAGCTGGCACATCCTGCGAGGGGTGTGACCCGGCAAACAGGCCCAACCTTGGCTCCACATCCCTAGCTGGCAAGAGCTTATCAGCATTCCAGGCTGTGCCAGGCCAAGGGACATGAAGAGCCCCGTGCCCTTATTGGGCTCATTCAGCAGTCCCCTGGTATCTCTGAAGGAAGCCAACTGGGAATCTTTCTCCCGAGTCGGCCTCTCCTGTCTGGGGACGGCATCCCAGAGCCCCGCCTCGGATATCCAAAGGCATCTAGACACACCACGAGGGGAAGTAGGTTTGCGCTGTGCCCATACCCTGAACTTGTCGTTTCTTTTCAGTTCATGCCATGGAGGAGGTGGTGAAGGAGGTGGTGGAGCACGCCAAGGAGGTTGGAGAGAAAGGTACAGCCAGCTGGGGGCCGAGGCTGGGCAGGAAAGGAGGCAAGAAGGACTGGAGGAAGGGATGGAAGGCGGGAGGGAGGCAGAGAGAGAAAGAAGGAAAGAGGAGGAAGGGAGGAGCGAGGGAGGGAGGCAGGGAGAGATGCTAGGTGCTGGGACCAACCCATTCTTTGTCCAAGCAGGTCAAACCCTGCCCTGATGTTGCATCCTTTCAGTTGGTATGCGATCATCAATGCTCATCTGAGACCACAAACTACACTCAGTGCGAGGACTCCATCTAGGTAGTCCTCTCGGTGGAATGTGAAGAAGACAAGTCACAAAAGACTGTGGCAGCACGAGGGGACAAAACATTTAAGATAAAAAATTATGTGTTTAGATATTTGTGTGTGTGTATATGCTGTGAGTAGAACTATGTAGAAAGCATATACATCATTCCTTTACAACAAAATAGATTCCAGATGGACCAAGAACTTAAATTTAAATATATGAAGTTATTAAATTGTTAGAAGATAACTATCTTATCTCAGGTTGCTACCATAAAATTCCCTGGACTGGGTGGTTTATAAACAGAAATTGACTTCTCATAGTTCTGGAGGCTGGAAAATCCAAGGTCAAGGCACCAGTAGATTCAGTGTCTGGTGAGGGCCTGCTTCTGGTTCATAGATGGCACCTTCTAGCTGTATCTCCACATGGTGGAAGTGGGAAGCTGGATCTCCATGGTTCCTTTTATAAGGGCTCTAATCCTAACCTCCCAAAAGCCCCACCTCTTAATACCATTGTGTTGGACGTGAGGATTCCTTTTTTTTCTTTTTTTTTCTTTTTTTGAGTTGGAGTCTCACTCTGTCGCCCAGACTGGAGTGCAGTGGC